CGGCGCCGGGAGAGGGCGGGCGCCTAGGGTCCCGCCCGCAGGACTCAGACACCGGCTCCTGAGCCCTTCTGGCCGCCGCGGGGCTGAGGAAGGGCTGCCTCGGTTTCCCCGGGGGGTCCCGGGATCTGAATGGAAGGTAGGTAGCTGGACAGGGGGCATCCGGAGGTTGGGGAGCCCCCTGGCGGGCTGTGACTCCAGGAGAAGAGGGGGCTTGGGGACACGGGTAGAACTTCTGGGCCCCCGAGAGCCTTTGAGGTCCAGAGAGAGGCTGTGATCTGGGGGCGGGGTCTGTGTGTGTGTGGGGAGCCCCTGGGATGCGAAGTCCTGAGGCTCCGGCGCCCTGGGCACGAGGAGGCCAGGCTTCAGGTCCCAGCGGGGGCTCCTCGCTCCTCTCTGCCGGCCTCAGTTTCCCCATCTGTTCCTGTGAGTGGGGGGTGCCCTGAGAGAGTGCCCGGACTACCCTCGCTGCTGCTGGCGTTTAAAGCAGGAGAGCAGTGGAGGCCCCTTAAGGAGAGAGTGATGGGTGTGGGGGGCGATGGGGAGGAGGGGAAGGGGTCCCACCAGGGAGCTCGGGGGCTCCCCGCATAGGACCCAGCCAAGGGGGCAGAAAGAGCATCCAGGGAGGAAATTCAGAGCGTTGGGGTGCCCTGGAGGCCACGAGGCAGGGGCTTCCAGGGGAATGGGGGAGCCATGAGGACACATGTCTTTGGCCGAGCAAGCGGGATGAGGGCTGAGGACCAAGCAATGCAGGGCTCACTCTGAGGTCAGGGGTGGCCAGGACGAAAGCAGTTTGGGGGGTAGGGGAGACCCGATTGGAAGGGCTGGAGTGGTCAGTCAGGACAGCAGACAAGGGGTCCTGCTGTGAAAGGGCCCCAGAGAGAGGACTGGACCCAGAAGGGGTGAAGTTAGGGTCTGTTTGCAGCCGGAGAGAAGCAGGTGAAGGGGACCAGGAGGGGAGGTGGCTGCTGGAGGGAGGGAGGCGGGGCCCCAGCTGAGGTCCAGGACAGCCGCCCTCTCCTGTTCCTGAGGGCCCAGCGGCTGGGATTTCATCACTGAAGCAGATCAGCTGCCCGAGGCCCTGGGGACCCAGGCTGGCTGTGGTCTCTGGAAGGAGGGAGACACAGGGCCTGGGCCTGGGTTTGGGGGTCAGGGAGGGTCTGCCTCTTCCCTGGGCCCTGTTTCAGTGCGGAAATGCCCTTTCCTCTGGATGGATGGGCCTCACCTTTCTCGAGGAAAAACTATGACAACTCCATAGTGGTAGGAACTGAATCGGAGAAGAAAAGGCAATGATGACGCACAGTTGTATGTATTTAGCCTGAAGAGGGGAAGCCCGAGCAGGTGATGAAAGGGCAGGAGGCAGGATTTTAGGGACAGTTTTTATCAAATAGGTGATGAGCGGAGATCTGTTGTGGTTTTTTTTTTTCATTGTCTCCCAATTGCCAGTGGAGCAGGAGAAACTTAAGCTAGACATAACGAGGGACTTCCTGAGCTGCGCAGTGAGGACAGCAACAAGGCCAGGTCCTCCCTCCTGGATGTCTGAGATGAAACAGCAATGCCTGCTTGCAGACGGGGCACTGGTCAGATTGGTCCTTGGGGAATCTCCCTGCTCGGATGTTTCTGGAACAGGGCCTGGGCGGAGATGGGACTTCCCAGCTGCTGGTAGGAGGGCAGAGTGACAAATG